TAAAGTTGCATCATCTGTGCATGCAGATAGCTCATGCGCCAAGGGGTAGTGCTTAAGCAGAGAGACGAGAGCCAGTTTCTCCCGTAGGGGAGGTTTAGTGCCAGTAATTCATGGAGTGGAACAAGGAATTATTCAAATATGAATCGAGAATTAAGCAGAAATATGTCCAGTAAAGGCTTCCCAAACAAGATAGATGATGCTATTGGATCTGGTGAGATAGTTGATGAAAATTTGTGGAATTTAGGGAGGGACAAAGAGACACAGCAATCAATCAATTGGCAGAAACCAAAGTCTACTTCCATTTCAGAATCTGGTTCTGGGAGTATCCATGCTGTTGTAGTGTCGGAGCCATCATCTAAGTTGGTATCAGAAATTTCATCAGCTCCTGCCTCTGCTGGGGTTTCACAGCCTGCTGCTCAAATAAGTGAAACGGAGAAAATGTGGTATTACCAGGATCCATCTGGAAAAGTTCAAGGACCATTTTCAATGGTGCAGCTACGTAAATGGAGTAACACTGGATATTTCCCTACTGATTTAAAAATTTGGAAGACTGCTGAGAAGCAAGATGACTCAATACTTCTGACTGATGCATTGGCTGGGAAGTTTCAGAAAGATCCTCTCGGGGCTTGCAGCTTTACGAAGGCTCAAATTACTTCTCATTCTGGTATGCCACATGGAGCTGCCGTTCAGCAAGGGGTAGAAGGTTCAGGTGGAGAGAGATTGAAGTTTGATCAAACTCGTGCACCTTGGAATCCACAAGGCAACCTGGTTTCTTCAAGCCAACCTATGCTAGAAAGCTGGAAATCTCAACCTGAAATGAGTTCTTCCACAGGCAGTGCTGCACCTTTGTCACTTGAAATTTTTGAAATTCCCAAGTACTCCCAAGAACCTTGGAGTTCTGAGACAAACCTACCTTCACCTACTCCAAATCAAACTACTGCTCCAACAAAGAGGCGAACATTTGAGAGCAGATGGTCGCCTACTCCTGCTCAGCCATCTGCTTCCCTGCCAGTAGCTAGTCATTTCCCTGGAGGAGGAGGGTCTCAGGCACCTGCTGTAGTTTCAGAAAGTGGCCAGTTGACCCATTCATCTACTCCACAATCATCACTAAAAGTAGGCGGAGGTGTAAATGGTTCTAGTTCATCCCATGGTGCGAGTCCAGCTCCTAATAATATGCTTTTGAGCCCCACAGCCCCACAAGCACATTCTCAACCTGCGATGACAGGTGAGTCACAAGGAGTACAGGCTAATCCCCACCGGCTTCCAGTGCTTGATTCCCCTGGTGCCTTAACCAATCCTTCTGGTTCTGTTCCAAGAGTGGAAGTTACTGCTTTGCCCCCAACACCCACAAGTGGATCTCAGCACTGGGGAAATGCTTCTTCTCTGCCAGCCCAACCTCCTGCTTATGGTCACTGGGTCAATGCTTCCTCGTCTAGTCAGAATTCTGCTTCAACCTTTAGCACAGTAAATCCTGCTGTGGTCTTCCCTTCTCAGAGCCAACCGGGGTTTCCACCATCTGATTCTTGGAGGCTTCCAGTTCCAAGTCAATCAACTGTTCAGGCTCCTGTACCACTGCCAAACTTACCTTGGGGTGTAGGTATTACAGACAACCAAAGTAATGTACCAAGGCAAGGACCAGAGAACCAAAATAGTGGTTGGGGGCCAATGCCTGGAAATCCAAACATTAGCTGGGGACCAATACCAACGAATACAAACATGAATTGGGGACCTTCTGGTCCAGGGCCATCACAAGGAAACCCGAATTCTGGATGGGTTGCACCTATCCAAGGGCAAGCACATGGAAATGCAAATCCAG